AAATAATATAATTTCTTGTTTTCTCATCAGTTTTACACATTAGGTTGAGTTCTTTTTGCTAATATTTTTTAATATTTTGACCCTTCAGTTATTCAACTGTAAATAAACGATGTCTTGAAACCTGATCTTGTGTCTGTGGTTACTGCGCATATGGTTTATTTTTGTGCCTTCGCTCGCTCAGAAATATTCCGAAAACCACCAGGGAATTAGGGGTGGGTCGCGGGCAATTTCATTCAGGCGTCAATAGGTTAAGACAGAAAAATGGCTTTTGTGTTTTAGTGGATGTTCATGAAAAGGCCAAAACTCGTAAAGTCCTATGTAAACAGTATGCCAGCACAGGAAAAATATTGAAGTCCCCAAACATTTTATGGCTTTTTTGAGAACTTTAGTGATTGCTCCCACTATCCATGTTAGAATAATGTGTATTTGCTGTTGCCCAGTGCAGTTTTTGCCATCAATTAAAGGCTATTCACAACACTACGAAATATGCACCTTACTTTACATGGAGCCACGGAAAGAAATCAAATTGTCTAGTTCAAATGAATATCTGTGCTTTGAGACTGATAATAATAGAACGTGATCCAGTGGATTTCATCTTCACATGGCCTTTCTTATTGTAGAAATACTTAATCAAAGACAGCTAATTAAACATGCATAAATTAGTAACAAATGACCATTTTTGGAGGGGGTTCCCCTAACTTGAAGGGAATAACATAATTATTTTGACCCAATGTCTTGCCATGATCATTTACTCACCAAACCCAACATTTGCGCCAAGTTTGAGCAAAATTGTTGATTTGAGCTGTATCACCTCCTGCCTGCTTCTGCCTGGTTTTCTCATGGACACACTCTTAAAACCTCAGTCAATGTAACATTAGCTAAAACCCCACAGTGATCATGACCAATACTCACTTAGTTGTGCTGTGAGGCACACCTGGAGCAAGGCCAAAGTGCCTCACACTTTCACGAGCCTTCCTTGGGCCTAAAATAGAAACAATTAGTTCATTAAGGACTGAGAATGGTAGTAAGTCACTTGTGCAACAGAAAATCAATGAATATCTATAATCACAGTGGAGCTACCTTGTACAATCACAATCACCTTGTGTTCGTATGATTAAGGTGTTTGTAAGGAGTTTTAGTATTAAAAGAAAAGAAACTACATGGCCTACATCAGAATACCACTATGAATTCATCAATTGCTTTTTGCATTAGAAGACCGTCGTGTCTTATCATCATTTGTAGGCTTTTTAAACCCACTGAAAACACAATCCCAATTCCCTGTGCCGGCCATAAGTGGCTGTAAAAAAAGCAAGTGAGGACAATTGCCTTCCCTACCCTTCCTGAAGACGTTTTGGCTCTCCTATTGTTTCATTTTAACGAAAACGACCAATTTTTTAAGTTTACAAGACATGTTTCGACAGAACTTGTCATCTTCAGTTGAATGATTACAAAGCAAGTTGAATTATAAGTTTTGAATACAGGTCGCAGATTTAAAGCAGCTTCCTGGACTTAAAGGAGAAGGTCACTCCAAAAACCGTGAATTTTTTTCCATCACCAATAAAATGTTCACATTGAGTTGAGTTACTCACCATTGTTTTAGCATCTCAAGTGGATGCGATCCCAAAGAAAAAGAAGTGAAAAGTTCAACACTGGGAGCCGCCATTTTGAAAGGATCTTAAAGGCCAGGCTGCATATCTGTGACGTCATTCCGTCCGAGAGTGTGTTTGTTCTTTTGAGCTTTAGTATGGCTGCTCTTGAAGACAGAATGTGCTAGTGATTTCGTGGGAGATAACAATCAAGTTGAATTGAATGATCGGTTGGAAAATGCCCTGTGGTCTACTTGTGGGAGATGTGCAACCATACCGACGCAGAGAGACTGTTTGTTGCCGAGAACAGCCGGAATAGGTCACCGAGATGGAAGGTACATTTTGCAGTACAATTGCACTGGACGCAGTCAGTGGAAGAGGAGGTTTATTTGTAAATTGCTCACAGAATTGAACTGGTGGCTTAAATACATCCCCAGTTTAGTGCTTTTGATCTGATTTGTCTTCATTTTTATGTTACTGGCAGTTCAATGTGGAGGGAGTTCTGGTATCACAGAAACTTACAAGTTTTCAATGGCGTGTTTAAATCGGGCGGATGCTTTCCACCTCACAAGTCTGTGTTTTTACTTATAAGATTTGGATACTTTTTGCTCGTGCTCGTACGTGTTTGCCTAGGTTTCTTTACGCTTATGGACTACGTGGACTCTTGTGAAACACACAGTGACTTTACATGTAAGATGTGAAGTGAAATCAACGTCTTTGACATGAAATGTGAAATTGACGACATTCCTCATCAGTACCTAAGATGTTTTGTGAGAATTGTAATTTGTATTGTTGGAAAGCTAAGCATATGTACTACATTTTGGATAGAAGAAAAAAGTATATACAACTTTTACATGCGTAAACCAGCGGAAGGAAAATTGGCTCTGCAAGTGTGTTTTTCGTGTCACATGTGTCGTGTTTACTGGCATCGTTACTTAACAAAGCATGCAGTAAGATTACAGCTTCATTTTTTACTGTAGCACTGCTTTCATTAGCAACTGTAATTCCCAAAAATAATGTGAATGAAAAAAAGAAAAAAAAAACGTCCTCAATTAATGATGAATTGTGTTAATAAAATTGAGAACTAATTGCAACACATTTCAGACAAAATATTATTTACATGCGGATATGGGGTTTCGCTATAGCAGGACTTGTTATCGGTAATTGTCGATATATAGATAGGACTGATGTACCATTAACTACTTCTTCCAATGTATTTTAAGTCAAATTAGACAGCATTTAAAATTTGTAAGTATTTTAACTCATCCCTGGCTGTCAAGGGCAATTATTAAACACGGTCTGAGTTTTTGGCTCACACAAAAGATGTATAAATCGAAAAAATGCTTTTTCGATAGAAGAAAACCGAAGCAGGTTAGTCTGACATGTAATTTTAAAGAAATCTAAAGCGCATTTGAAGTTCCCACGGTACCCTAAGAAATTTGATAAATTCACCCAAAAAAATGCGTGCAGTCGCTATGCATCAATGAACACAACAACATGAAAAACCTTGCGCCAGTCTACGAAAAATAATGAATCAAAGCTTGCAACATGGAAGCTTTTTTATAAATACTGGTAAGACTGGTAAATGAAGAATAGAATTTCAATAAGCCATTTTCCCTGTTATTGTACAAAAAAAAGTGGCAAACTGATATATACATGCAAAACCCGTGATTCACACCGTTTTAGCTTCTTTTCATGAAAATATATTAAGCCTGAAGGGTTGAAAATTTTTGGCGACTAAAATACTTGTGCTGGTGACCAAACCTGAAAACTTAGGGACCAGCTGGTCCCAAGGTTTTTTCTTGAAATTTGAGTCCCCATCCAGCAAGGAGCTTCAAATTCTTGCGCAGAAATAATATTTACCAAATCAAGTCAACAACAGTTCTGCCGGGCAAAAATATTTTTAAAAAATGAAAAGTATAACTGATAGCTACCTCTTTTCATTCCTTGCAATGCACCGTTTGCTAGCAATGCGTGCCTTTACAAGAGCCTTCCATTGAAAAATTGTCGGAAAGCATTTTTCAATGACCTACTTCTTGTGTTTCTACCCACAAGCTCAAATCAGTATTCAGTTTGAGACAGTCATCTGTGAAATGCTCATTGCACACATTCACATTTTTGAGTTTTTTTGGAATGAATCTCTCATCCCAACGTAGCCGTTCGAACTTCTTTGGCAATTTTTTGTTCTTTGCAGGCAAACTAAGGAAAGTCACTCCTCTTTCTCTGTCCTTTTCGGTTCGGGTTTTACAGCCCGGGACCCAACATTTAAGCTCACAACGGAATAAACGAATTTAGGACAGAAAAGGAGAGCTTTAGCCTTTGAGTTTCACACCAATTTGGACTGAATGACATCACGGATATGTGGCCTGGCCTTCAAGATCCTTTCAAAATGGC